CAAACCCAAACTCAAACCCAACTGTTTGGGAGTTTGGGTGCTAAACCCAAACCCAAACTCAAACCCAAACTCAAACCCAATACCCAAACTCAAACCTAAACTCAAACTCATATACCCAAACTCAAACCCAAACTCATATACCCAAACTCAAACCCAAACTCACCAAACCCAAACAGTTTGGGTTTAGGTCATGTCTAACTCGAAAGCAGTAAAAAATCAAGAATATCATAAAGTAATATTATCAATAGTTTTAAATTATAGGCATATTCCGCACATCCATGAATTGTTAAAATCACATCGACTTCATCATTGTTACCTAATATGCGGTTATTCAATCAGTTATCAAAACAACTGTCTATCGTTTGAACACATGCCTTTGATCAAGCTAATTTAGTTTCCTGTTTTTTTCAAATATCATATGCATCTAATTTTTTACTTGATTGCGATATGTAAATGCTTTTAGAATTGATGCACTATAGTCTTCTGCTTCTATTGATGTTTGATTCATTATCCATCCTGACAATGGATGTAGATAAGTGTGAGTGAATAAAAGACACCGACACCCTTTTTTGGGCGGCAACTAGCATTCAGTATCAGAATTATACATATTGTGTGAAGGTCTGCTAAAATCACACAAAAATCTACTTCTAAAACCTTTTTTGGTTCCGCATATCTGGCTAAAACCATTTTAAGTTCTAGATGTTTTTAAGAGAACCTAAAAAGGTTTTGAAAATGGCACTGAAAAAAGGTTTACTAAGACACCCTTTTTTACAGAGCAGTCTTGAGCTTTAGTCAATATTTTTTCTTGCTTCAAAGATCTCAATCGTAGTTAAATTTTGTTCGACTTGACTTTTTATACTTGTTTTTTGGACTGAGAAAAGTGGGATTTACTGCCATAGACACACCTATAGTAATTCGTCTTAGTTCTTAGAATCAATATTTCAAAGAAATAACAAATAATTCTTGAATATGCTTTTTATTTGATGATCGTAGTAAATCTTATGTCCAAATATCTTGTAGTAAATCAGTTGGTTGTAATGCTTCAACATAAGGAAATAGTCTGGATTTTGAAGGCGGTTTCGATTGAGAGATCTCAAGTCGATTTTGTTTTTGAGTATTGAGTAAATGATCAAGCTTTGTTTTACAAATACTGATTAGCACTTTAGCTTTGTTGATTTGTTCAATCAACTGTTGCATCAGAGTTGATACTGTGTCCATTATTTGTTCTTTTACTTGCTTTAGATAATCTTCTAGAGCAGCTTGATCGCGAGCGTGGGTATTGTCTTGATTCGTCGGATCAGATGTAGTTAACTGATCCAATGGACGTTGAATTTCATTTGCAGCATTAGCTAGATCATTTAATCGTCTTTCTTGATCAATTAAATTATCTAATCGATGTCGAAGTCGCTTTTGTTCTTCGAAGATCTCAGCAAATCGTGAATCATCCGATTTCAGCTCTGATTTATCGAGTCTTGACTTGAAATTTTCAATATCGAAGATTTTATTTTCTAAATCAGCTAATTTCTCATTAATATTTGTCAGAGATGTATGTAGTTCATTGATTTGATTAAGTGCTGTTCGAGCCAAAGTAGATAGTTGATTAATTTCTAATGATTTTTGTTTTAAATCACTATCAATCGTTCGAAGATATTGTTGCATAGCTGATAAATCATTGATTTGAATTCTATCAAAGCTTTTCTTTAGTTCTCGATATAATAAATCAAACGTAGTTAGTTTTTCATTAAATTGAGTCAATTCACCATTATGACTAATAATATCTCGTTGTGCTTGACTAACACGTGATTCTAATTCGTTGAATACATTAGGTTCAATTAGGAGATTTCGAATTTTTTCAATTTCTCGTTCTAACGAAGGAATTTTACTAAGTGGATAAAGTCCTGCTTGAACTTGATTAAATAAATGATTGATTTCGTCGAGTCGTTCGATGAATTTGTTCAATTGATTAAGATCGGAATGACGAGCATTGATGATCTCTTCAATTTGTTGAGCTAACTTATTGAGAGTATCTCGTTGAAGAGAAAGATCTTTGATGGCTATACCATGTTCATCTTGTTTTTCACGTAATCGCTCGAGACGTCGTTCAAGATCACCAATCGTTCTCATAGTTTGGCTGGTGTATTGATTAATTTCTATTCTATAATCATCAAATCGTTTCTTCAGTTCGTTAATTTGATCATCATGAGCTGTTTGATTATTGTCACATTTCGTTGCATTTTGATTAACACGTTCAACCAATTCATTGTGTTCTTGTCTAAGTTGACGAAGTTTTTTTTCGAGTTTATGAATTCGATTTCGTTGAGCTCTAAAATAAACAGCATATGTACGATGATCCAATTGTTAATTAATATTATCAACGTCAAGCTCTAATTGAGATTATCGAAATAACAATACTTGTGTGATAACTAAACCAATTTGATTGAAAATTTTCTAGTAATAATACTTACTCTGGTGTATTTTCCTCTAGTAGACCTTCGATAATTTTCTAAACAGTATAGGAAAACAAATAAAAGTAGTTAACATCGTGAAACCTTTCTCTTGGATTCATACTCGAATCGTATCTCGATTATTAAGCAATTCCATTTCTCGCACTTTTTTTTGATGCACAGCCTGAAAGTGAAATCACATTGATAGACGTGTCAAATAACCTTCAGATTAGATTTCATACTTCTGCTTGTCGAAGTGTGCATGCGACTTGTTTGTCGTGTACGTCTTCTTGAATTTTCAGATCAACGTGAATTTTTCGTTCAATATCTTTAATCCTATTACAGATCGATCAGCATAATTGTATTCAAAACAAAAATCACTAATACTCATATATGATTTGTTCAATTAATTGCTGCCGAAATGGAATTGCATGTTGATAATTATGAATATGTCGTGTTTGCTTAGCTACAATTGGTTTATCATCATCATCAATCTATTGACATTATAATCACATCCAAATAACAAATAACAAAAAACAAAAAACTTACTAATTCAGCATCTCGTAGTCTTTGGATAAGATGTTTAGTGTATCGAGAGGGGTCGAATGTATCATTGGATGATTGAAATGGACTTGAGTAGTTTATATAAATATATTTTAAACAAATGAATATTTATCAAATTAACTTACGCGGATTGAATGCGACGCCGACGTTGCCGTCGTTTCCGTTGTTCTTCATTATGATCGGACATTTCTGAAAAAGATACAAGAAATCAGTGATTGAATTTATTGCAGATGATCTTCTATCTATTTCTTGAGTTGCGAATAGAGCTGAAGGCGGTTTGTCATGGGTTAAACACTTGCAATATTCCTGACTGCTTAGTATTCGTTAACAGATAAATAATATATCTAAAAAAAAAGAAAATATTTAATGAGATCTTTCTTTCAACAGCAGCAATTTTTGTCCTTATTATTAATTTTTTCCTTATCAAGATTAGCTAAATAGTCATATTCTTTTTGTGTTCCTAATCGATAACCATATAATCCTGGTTCCATCCAAGTTAAAGATTCTAGACGAGTAGTTGCTTCAGTATTATCGATCAGTTGAATGCCAGGTTTTCGATAAAAACTATGAAGATTCCATTCAGTTGGTGTTTCTCCTTGCTTCGAATCATCAAGTTGTGCATGTAAGAGAATAACCTCTTTCTCTAACTTCAATTTTTTATACACTTTAGATGTTTTTCCAGGCTTGGCACGACATGTCACAGCCACTAATATATGAACAAGATCGTTCGGTCCTATGTAGTTATATTCTTTTGCTTCGGCAATATCACCATGAAGAATCGCTCTCACAATAGAAGCAATACCAAATTTGGCAATCTCTTCCGCCGGCTTAGCTTCTTTGGAATTATCATTGGTTGAAGGTTGATTTTTCTGATCCTTTCGAAAACATCGACAGCACCAAGAACAAATCCGGCATCTATGATGAGGAATGATCGTCAAACTTAACAGTTGTTCTTTGTAACGATCCGCTAGTTCACGAGCCACTTGCCGTGATACATCACTTAGCTCTTCAACAGTTCCAACGTTTGTAATTAACGATATTCTTTCTTCATATCTTTTATATTCATGGTTTCGAAGAGAAGAACTAACGACACTCGCCACACCACCAGCTACTTCACCACCCGTCGGCAATGCAACACCTAAAACACTTTCCACAAGTCCGACACCATCAGCAATCCTAAATTCAGAAGAAAAAGAGTCATACAAATATATTATCGATGATGTGTTATCTTTTTTGTCTGAATATTGCAATAGCTCATTGTAGAAAAGTACTTCTTGAATTTGAGGACAAGTTCTTATTTGATATTTCATTGTTATATACTGACTTCTTTTCTACGTTAAAGTAGACTTTTCTGTTATAACTGATTTTATTTTCAGTGTTATTCTCAATGAATCAGATATTTATTGTGGATTTCTTCAGCAATGTTTTCGTGAAGCTAATCACTATTGGAGAGTCAGTAGAGACGAGTAATATAATGAATCTTCAGAAACAATGAGAGAAAGATTTTTACTATATACCAGTGGATAGTTAAGGGCTAGGCTCTCTTCTAAGTCAAGTCAACTATACAGATATTAATCGTGAAACTGTGTCGAACTACTTCAATCATTCAGAAGCAGCTACGAAACTAAGGATTTAGATGTTGTCAAGATCATAACTAAATGGTAAAACTCATATAGAGGCAGAGCTGGATTTTACGGGCAGACTTTGGATGATTCTCACCAGAAATACTATACAAAATTGTACTAACCGAAACAAATTTACACTCTCAAGATGATTATCTTGAAAATAACTTACAGACTCTCAGCTCCTGTTCGATCGTGTTTAACTATTGGTCCTCCGCCGACTTCCGTTGTAACGCACATTGCTGTAAAAGTATGGGACAATATTACCCGCATTTTTTCATAGAAGATCCGTCGATTTGTATTTCTATCTTTGGAAAAATGTTCTCTATCTACTTTCACTTGATTTCGATTTTTTTCAATGTTTTCCAATATTGTCAGTCTATCGGCCAACATCGACATCAAATTATTATTGTTCAGTTCTTCACTAATCTGTACGCCAGTATTATCACCGTTAGCCATCTCTTTTATAATGCCTTGTAAAATTTCAGATAAGGGAATATGTTCCTTTTTCTTGACTCGAATATCAGTCAACATTTTTTGCCACTTTTCTTCATGTTCTGGATTCTTCTCCAAATCATCATAAACATTATCCAGAGAAGTCATAGCGGCTTTTGCATGTTTATGATTATTGTGCAAATTACATAGAAGAGCAAAGTAGAACGGAGAATAATTACCATTTTCTTCAACCTCTTTATCAATTCCTCGTTCACACCATTCTATTGTTTCATGATATTCTTTTTTCGATACATTAAATTTTCTTGTTTCTTGTGATAAGGTATGAACTTTGTCATGTAACAGTGCAAGCATAAGATATATATCTCTTGGTATATCATTTTGTCTCCATTTTGATAATAATCTTTGTAACAGAAGCTAGAAACATATATGTATAATAGATCAAGATAAGATTATAGTCCATATAAATATACTAATGAGTGTCCTTTTCCTCATTTCTCCTGAAGCCACTTAGATTTCTTGTGATTCTCTTTCTTAGTCCATCTTTACCCCTAAGAACTGGAAGAACCAAAGGAAATATGGACTCGAATATGGTATAAAGAAGTATGAATTTATCCTTTCATGAGTCTTTCGACGATCTACTCAGAATTTCTTCGTTGAGATTCGACTAACTAAGCATTGTTCATGACTTATTAGTTCAGAAAATAGTCCTACGTTTTAGAGGTATTGATCGAAGTCTAATAGAAAGATTACCATTCGAGAAAAAACGTGTGTCTCACCTCATAAGGATTTCCATTGATAGATTGATCAACATTGGTTTGTTCCAATTTGAATGCTAATCGTTTATCGTAAACACATGCATCGAGTTGACCCATTTTGTGATGAAGGTTTCCTCGTTCATATAATATGCTTGATTTTTGAGGAGTCAACTTATGGGCTTGAGTTAAATGACTCAATGCTTGAGAATATGAGTTTTCATTCTCGCTTTTCATCATACCAAGTCGAAAATGAGCCCGTTTGTGATCTGCATCCAGTTTAAGTACGTCTTCAAGATCTTTGATAGCATCATCAATAGTACCAAGAGCATACCGAGTCAGACCAATATAAAATTTCGTATTGGCTTGTTGTTGTTTATTTGCATAATTCAATGCTTCGATGAATTCCTGCAAAGCAACTGAATAATCATTTAATTCATACGAAGCAATGCCATAATAAAAATGATTATCATATGTATGTCTCGGCTGACTGAGTTCATTTCGACAGTAGTCTGCAAGTTCCTTAAATTCTCTTTGAGCTTCACTAGTATTGTGTAGAGCTGCATGGGCTCGTGCTAGACAATACATATAATACATATCCAATTGTAGATTCATTTCATTTGCCTGTCGCATATCTTCGAGTGCTTTGTCATATTCTTGTAACTCAGTATGAACAAGACCGCGACTCAGATATCCTTTATGCTTATTGGATGGACTGTATTCAATGAACATGGAAGAATCAATGATAGCTTCAGAATATCGACCAATCAGTTGACATGCAAAAGCACGTTTGTAATAAATGTTCACATCCTTAGGTATTGATTCAGAAAGCTTCAATGCTTGGTTGAAATCTTCGATGGCATTCTTTATTTGAAAAAATCCGCCTAGTTGAAGATAGGCACATCCTCGATAATACAGTGAATCGAAGGTAACAGGAGATATTTCGTTAAATTTAGCAATGGCTTCAATATAGTTGCCTTTAGAAGCTTCCCGGCGACCTTCTCGAATTTGATTGAAACCCTACATAAAAAAATTCGTAAATTTAAATGCTTAGTGTAGAGAATGCGGATGTGACAAGTAGACGATCACATTCTTGTGTACTGAATAAGAAAATAGTTTGATGTAACCCTCATCGATTAATTAGTGAAGTTTGCTCTAACTGAGATTAGAAGCATCGTATAGGTCCAAAACATTTTTCATAAAAGAAATAAGATAGACAGTTTTAGTCATTATCAAAAATGGAAATGAATCACCGTCAGGAAACAACCTGGAATTACGGAACTGATGGAATCTCGCTCAATTAAACGTCACTTATGATATGCGGACTAGAGCCCATCGGGTCCACGTTTTTTGGACCCGGACCCGCTCAATAAAAATTTTTTGAACCCGGACCCGACCCGGACCCGACCCGGACCCGACCCGGACCCGACCCGGACCCGTTCAAAAAATTTTTGGTAGACTCGGACCCGGACCCGATGTCCGGTCCGGGTCCGGGTTGGACTCGATTTCGACGAGCACTAGTCTGAACTCGAACTGTGCCTTTAGAAAAATTTTTAGTCTTAACTATCCAAAAACGAAAACTGAGGAGCAAAAAAGAAAGGTCTGTGATTTAGTTTTCTGAAGACGTATCAACCAGTTTTCAAATCCAAAATGGCATTCTCATGTTCACCGAGCAGTATAAAAATATTGTGTCGATAATATATTTCTTTTTATCCGGACCCGGTCGGAAAAAGCTTCGAGACCCGGACCCGATGGGCTCTAATTCGGACATAATATGAAATACTACTTGTTTTATTTTCGCCGAATTTACATCGAATGGTTCGGATTGTGTTGTTCTAGGCGCATAAGTAGTTGTCGTTGGCGCAACAGTTGTCGCGCTAGTATCATGTATAGGCTAGAATAAAATAGAAAGAATAAATCCATCGTATCAAACATAGAAAAATCACTGGTTCGTTTTTATGAGCGTATGGAGTTAAATTCTATTGTACTTTTGAATTCTTCATGACTATTTCTATCTTAAAATATTTCATCTATCGAAGAAATGAAAAACGAAATTATTAGCATAGATAAATGTTAATTTTCTTTCGTGTCGGATAAAATCAGCATTCCAAAAATAAAATACATTTTCTCAATATCATCAGTCCTCTTTTCACATGTGAGACCTTTCCAACTAAATCAATCGTCTGAGCTACCATGTCTTATTCTGATATGTTTTCATTATTGTTCTTGAACAGAAACTTTACAACTTGATTATCTTGCCAAAATTCATCATAAACTGAATTATTTTGCTCTGATCGGTAGTTCTTCAGAGATGTTCGTCAGCAAAATCGAAATAATAATATTTATTTTTACCTCTCTTTTTAACATAAACACATCAGATTTCACTTTTGTTCGTGGAGTAATTCGATTAGAATCTGGCTCGACATCTACTTTGTTCTTGTTCTTATTGCGAGCTCCTGATTTTGATTGTTCGGCCATCATCATTCAGTTTATTACAGCTTCTGAATAATACGAAGAAATGTAATTCTACTGCAGAAACAATCGTTTTATCATCTTATTTCGATTACGTTTTGTCAATATTTGCGATATATTCAACCTTCATTTTTTTTCAAGTTGGAAGTTTCTTCACATTCCGTTTTTAGTTTTCTTCTTCCTTCCTCGCAGATGGATTTTTTTTCTTTTGACTTATTCAAAAAAAGAAACACAATCATAGCAACAGAAGAAGTAGGAGTATGCTTATATATCAACAGTAACGTTTTATAACGAGAACGGTTCTCTCATGCGTTTATTAAGATGTGAAGAGTCTGTACAAAAGTTTATTGTGGGTTTTTTCTCACTTTTTTCTCAGAACATTTTTATATATAGTGATGCGGGTGTGGGTGTGACGGTGAGGGTGTGGGTATGGGTGTGAATATGGAGTGGGTGTGGGTGTAGGGTGGGTGTGCGTGTGGACCCTCATCTTACTTATAACCCACACTCACGCCCTTAAGATTAGAAAGAGTAATAAATATTTGTTTGTTGAATGAAAGATACAGATCTGCATAAAAAATGCTCTCCATTTTAAGTAATGTATTTACCTTCCAATATGCTGAACTTACATTGAAATCTATTTTAAATAAAATATAGTACTCATCACTAAACCTCTAAATAATGTCATATTTGTAATACTATACTTAACTACTATGACTATTTTGATCTTAATATAATATAATTTATCTCCGATAATTGTTTGTGATTGCTTGTTATTAAATAATTTTACATAAGTAGACCAGATATTTCACGTAAAATACGATTGGACATATGTATTCCTACTGTTATCGCGTAATTTTCATGATTTTTCTTTTCATTTATATACTTTTATATGTAGCTTTTGTACTTGAATGAATTTACAATTAAGTCAAAAGTATATTAGAACTAAAAATAATACTATTCGATGGATTTAAATTCTCAGACAAGATCGTAATTTCATGAAAATATTAATCGATGAAGTATTAATCTATTATATATTTAATGATATTATTACACAATCAATTACACGTAAAAAGTTCAATTGGATTATCTATTAAATCATTGATTATTTATATGATTATTTTTGAAGCGATATTATAAAACTAGTGTTGAAGATTCAGTTGAATTGTAGTAGAAATATTGTTAGTACAAAAATAAACATTTTTATCGAGCTTAGATTTTCGTGAATGAAGATGAAGATAGAGGATTATTTAATACACACATTCTATTAATTATTTCCCCATAAAACATTGTATCGTCAAATAAATCGAAATTTATTATCGTGCCCACCATAACGGATAATTAATTGAACAACTTGCATTTTGTTTGTTAAAACTAATTGGTAAATGTAAGTTGACATAGTGACAATTAAAATGTCCAATATCAGGTTCAGATGTGATATATATTTCTGTCATGTATCGATCTTTTTGATCAAATTTATCAATTCTTGTAAGTCGATTAACATGTGAACATTTCGCCCACCACATATTTCCAGCATAATATGTATTCCAACCAGGTTTACGTACACGATCATAAGTCAATATAGCGCCACAAGTCGTATAATTTGTTGAAGATAAAAGTTTATAACATAGTTGCCATTGTTCCAAAACAAAATAATTTAATACAGCTCTCCAGGAAACTACAAAATCAAACGAATGTGAAGAACCTTTAGAATGTGCATACCATACGAACGATGCGTTATTATGAAAACAAAAATTTTCAAGTTTCTTTAATGTTGGATATTCATATAATTCTGTTCTTGTTTTATATTCATAAATAAATTTCGGATGAGCAAATAGATCGTATGCAGTTTTATTATCATTAATTTTACCCAAACCAGTTACATAAATATTCGAACTTGAATTAAATAATCCATTAGCATAAACGAGTGACATTTGTTCATTAACTATATTTTTCCAGTTAGGACCAACGATAGCAAAATGATAAAAACCAGCAATAGAAGATTGTTGAGATTTTTCAATAGAAATTCTTTTATATCGAATAGTTAGTTTATTTGAAAAAAAAACGAGATATATTGTTAAACTAAAAACTCCAATACTTATGAATAAAAATAATTTTTTATAACATGTTGTATGGATATTTATTGCATTATGTTTCATAGTTTGCATAGTTTCATACTAAAGTATAATGCCACTTTTTTTTCTTTTCATATGCTAAATATCCAAGGGAATAAAATAATGACTTTCTCGGAAATAAAAAGAAAAGAATGACATTTCTAATAATGCAACGGAAGCTTTTTTTATGTATTTCATTCTCAATAAAGAAATTGATTAAAAATCAAAATTACAAAATGAATTTAATGGAAACTTTTATTTTAATCAATGAAAATCAAATTCATCAATCTAATGCAACTTTCTTTATTTTTTTATTTCCTGTAATATTCCTTTGTAAAGATAAGAACTATTTTCTAATGAAGTTTATTCCATTATGTGAATGCATAGTATTGTCAATGATAATAATATTTTATCGACAAAAGAATTAATAGAAGCCGTTTTTCACGTTGTAAAGGAAGTTGAAACGTTTTTATTATAAAAATAAAATATTACAGGTTTTTTCATCTCATCAAAAGTAAAACATGAATTCAGTAACATATTAATTGTAATACATTTAATTGATTTTCAACGAAAAACTAAGAGGTGGGTGTATCTTTTCACAACCCTCGACCGAATTCTGAAAGGGGCTGTTGTTGGTCCTTAACGCCACCCATTCCTTACTACAAATTTCAACGGACAAAGCTGACGAAAAGAAATATTCTGCTTCGCCACTTGTAGAGAACTATAAAACTGTCTGAAACCGTTGCTTAGAAGTTTTGAAATTCGATTTATTGCCACATTTTTTTAATTCTAATATAGTGAAGAAAATTAGAAATTTTATATTTGTTCTATCTCTAGCTTGGAAATTTCATTTCAGAATAAGATATTTAAAAAATCCACTCTTTCATTCGTTTTGTTTACGTTTCAATCATATCGATATATATCATAAAATCACAGAAAATCAATCAAAATATAAGAAAACGAAGGTAGAGAAGCATTATAAAACTTAAACATATTAAAGACAAACACATACGCAGCAACGCCAATAGGAAGGTGTGGGCTATAACTAAGATGGGGGTCCACACCCATCCACACCCACACTCTCAAGATAAATCTTATGGCCATGAATGCATTCGTATTCCAAGTTGTCGTAATTTTGTAAATAAAATATATGAATCTTTTAATGAACCTGGTTGAATTCCCCAAGATGGTACCATTTCTTTAACGGTAATATGATGTTCAAAAAATAGTTCATCTATCAACGAATGAATGGTTGAATCATTTAATACTTCATTTATTAAAGGTCCTTCAATTTGTGGAGTATCAATATCTAATTTGATAACGACATGATCGTATGGTTTAGCTATTGCTTTTAAATTTGTCCAAGGACTAAATTTTCCCGATTTTTCACATCCAGTATTAATTAGAGTATAAACAGGAAAGACATCATCTGGTAACTATTCCCAGGCAGTTTTAGTATTTAATGCTTGATGTTCATAGGCAATAATACGATCAAATTTAATGCCAAAACGTTTGTAATGCTCATAAAACCAGCGTCCAGCGTTGGCAGTAGTATCACCATTCCAATTTCCAAAATAAGAACTTCCCAAATCAATCAAAATATTTTGTCCTCTCCTCATGTCTGTTTCTGTATCTAAAGTATTCAATTTTGATCTTTCATACATCCATGGAAGTAAATTTGTATTACGTTTATTTGATGTAATCATCATTGGTACATTATTATTAGGGCTTGGTGTTGATGAATGAATATAAAACGGAGCTGCCACTGATAATAGAAAAAAACGTTTTGATTGTCCAATTGCTCCGTCATATACAGAAGCAGGTAGTGTGTTCACACGATTGCACATTGACAATGGATCTCGAAGTAAACCAATAAGTGGTTCGATTAATTGAGATACGATGACACCTTTAGATGATTTATTTGTTATTGGATTAATATATTTTTGTTGATAAAACATTCTCGATAGAAATATATCGCTTGATTGTTTGTTACTTTCGGTTTGATTTCTTCCAAATTTCTGTAATTCGACTAATCGTTCGACAGCTAAAACTGATTTATTTAAATTGTCTATATTCGCTAATGTTTCACAAACGATATTTTGTAATTTTTCAATATTATCAGTCCAACTAGATTCCCATGCACTTGGTGTATAATTTAAAAAATACCAATGACAATTTTGATCGGTGTGTTTGGAATTTATTAAACAATTCGTTGAACTACCAACTGTAAATATTTCTGTTGCGATTATTCCTTGATGACTAACATAAATAATTGTTAAAATTAACGATCCAATAATGAAAATGATCATTAGTGGGCGTGAAAGTAAGAAATGCAGTGTGCTTTGTGCAGATATAGAATGATTCGTATTTGCCGAGTAAGCCATTATCTGTATATTAATATATATAACAATGTTACATTTATGAAAATAAGTAGTTTATATTAACACTCTGAATACATATTTTTCCAAAGTAAATCAGGATCATTCTCACTAATACTCATGGAATGATGAGTTTAATTTCTTTGCAGTTACATCACTAAATCGATCATTTCTGTACTAATGTCTAAGAGTTGTCTTAAAGCATTTACTAACATACAAGTCATGTCTATTAATAACTCCAGATCCGAATCATCTAACTTCTGAGATTTATAGTAAACATTGAAATCAATGGATGAAGAAATAATACACCCACATAAAATGATGTAAATTAACGAAAAATAGAATGAATAAAAAAACATACATATCCTTTAAAGTTCTACTACGTGTATTAAAATTCAAGGAGAGATTGTTTCTCTTAGCTGAATATACGTCAACTAACAGAAACAGAATGAATACATAAAAAGGCACATACATATATCAATTACTGTCTTCAAAATACACTTAATAGAATGAATTAAAGTTACAATGAAACGTAATGCCACATTTTTTTCTTTTCATATGTTAAATATCCTAGGGAATAAAATAATGACTTTCTCGGAAATAAAAAGAAAAGAATGACATTTCTAATAATGCAACGGAAGTTTTTTTTATGTATTTCATTTTCAATAATGAAAATGCAAATTCATCAATCTAATGCAACTTTCTTCATTTTTTTATTTCCTGTAATATTCTTTTTTGATTCCATCAGTATGATAAAAAATTACCATGATTTTCCTCCGTTCTTTTTCCTAGGGTAGTATATTTGTTTTATTTAAAATTAGTGTGATACGTTTTCTTCTTTTTTTGCCACAAAATTCGATATTCCAAAAGACAGTTTTTATTATTTATTTTTATATACAGACTAAAGACAAAAAAAATAGTTAAATCTGCAGTCATGTTTTACGATAGAACATCAAGAAGAAGCAAAGCAAAAAGATGAAATTGAATATTTAATAATAACTAAAATCTTTTCTTTTGGAAAGATAAGAACTATTGAAATGAAGTTTATTTCATTATGTGAATGCATAGTATTGTCTTGAGGATGTGGGTGTGGGTGTAGGCTTTGTTTTTCGTATGTACCCACACCCACCCTCAAGATAATAGCAATATTCAAAAGTATTGAAACTTAAATTTTTTAGAATAGAGTAAAACTTTTACTCAACAACACATTTGACATTAAACATAATCATCATTCATTTGTATTATTTTAGTCTATAAATTTCTTCTTCTTTTTTTTTGTATCAAAATCATTCCATTTTATAACTTAGTTTAATTAATACTGTAGCTTCATTTACTTCTACACATTAATAAAGGAAAATAAATAATACAAAAATAAGTGTCACAACATATTATTTTCACTGCAAACGATACTTAAAACGATAATAATCAAGAACAACTTCACTTACATACTCACATAAAAATTATTGAGTACCAGCAATCGTTCTCATATGTACTGTGCCTCGCACAACTTGATTGACAGGCGTCACTGTTTTTATTATTCCTAAGTTTAGAACAATATTTTTCAGTTGTGGAATAGAAAAAAGTAATGCGACACTCAGTCCCATTTGAGATACGCTAACTGGAAAATATGAAATTCGAACAAGTAATGGATATTCTTCACCTGTTATTATAAACATGAATACAAGAGTCATTGCAGGTATTCCAAGAATAAGTAATAAACTAACAATAATTAAAATACGTCGAATAATAAGTAAATCTCGAGATTGTCGGTGTTTGATTATTAATGTTTGAGTATTTCCTTGTTCATGAATAAATCTTGTTATATGTATATAAATAAATAATAAACAACAAAATGGACCTATATAAATAATAGCTGCTGCCGAAAGAATACCAGGAATATTTGTGTATGATATATTACAAAAGTGATCATTTGGTGAATATATTACACCATTCAAAGGTATAAGAACACATAGAAGAATAGGTGTTACTATTATTATTTCTATAACTGGTAGAATTATATATAATTTCAAAGACTGAAACCATCTATTTTGAGAATAAACAATTCGAATAAGACGATAAAATGCCTAGCATTATCAAAAAAAAAGAATATATAAATTTTCTAATTTCTATTATTTCAAATTACCTGATTTACAAACGTCATGTATGACATACCAAGAAATATAATAGCTAAATATCCTGAAAAAATACACCATGATGAATCAAAAGACTGATTATACAAATCACCCAGTATTGATCGAATATTCATTGATATTGACATTGATGAATACATTACAATTGTTAAATATATATGACCACAAAGAACAACAGTTATTTTATCTTCACGTTTAACATGATTATAATAAAGATGATATATAATAATAAGAAAAATTATGCATGATATCAAACATGCAAATGTATTAAAGCCAAGAGAAATCGAACTAAGTATAAAACCATTGGCTTTTGTTTGATCATTAATCATGGTAGAAATATCTAATATATATAAACTGAATTAATAAAATGAGATAAAATGTTTCTAAAGAACAATTAAAATGCTTGAATAAACAATATAAATATCTATAATAAAAATTATTTTTTTTGCCAACATAGACCAAAAATAAGATAATGAAATACTTCTAATAGAAACAATTCTTTATCAAAAATCTATTTGTTTTAGTCATTTGTATATCTCAAGACAACAGAATACTTTTACCTTTAAAATTAATATAAATTGAGATTTCTATCATATTTTATGATGAAAGAGTATATAGAGATTATTTTTCTCGACAATAAATTACATGCTTGTATTATTTTAGTGCATCATTATGAAAAAAATATAGTCTGTAATAAAAACTAATCAAAGTTACTATTGTTTATTAATGGCATGTTAATTACTTTCTGCTCGTGTAAATTTGTTTAATTATGATTTGAAATAAAATATAAATGCATAATCATATGGTATCCGTCAAGAATGTCCTTTAGAAAATGTCCTTGCCAAAATGCACTCAAAGTTTGGTCCTTTGGAAAATGGGTGGGGGTGTAGGTGTTGTATTTTTCTTTTGTCAACACTCAATTCCACACCCACACCCAGACATCTACTAATGTGCACTGTTCCATAGATAATCTTCTGTATAATGAAAAGACATTGATCTATGCAATAATTATAAATAATAAAAAGGTTTTAAGAAATATAATTATTTATTGCAGATAAGGAAGCTATTTAAAATTAGAAGTGTACTGAGTAGAGCATTGATATATACATATTCACAAGTTCAAAACATTTTGAAGGTTTGGGTGTGTGTATTTTTGTCATTCATCAACCACAACCACATCCTTGCTGGTACCCATACATCAATCTTTATAGAGATTTTTATTATTAATGATAATACAACACCGAGTTAGCAATTATGATAGCACACAAAACTAAGCGTATCACACCGGAAAACGGTTGTCATTACATTCACAATGACGACCAAAGCAACAACAAGCCCAAAAATAATGGTAATAGGAACCACCACCACAGCAACAATCACAGTCATATTGATCATCATATCTACCACCATAACAACCTGTGCAAGTAGCATCAGGACGCTTCATGTAATATTTATATCCTCCAATCCAAGAACTGTCATTAGCAGTCCAGTACCAATCGCGACACTTACCACAATGTGTACAAGCATGACCCTTGCAAGGGAGTTTTTGATGAAAGTCTTTTGTATTACTCTGTGGTTCGACACGAACAGCTTGAGAAGTACAAGGATTAATGTTGGGTGTTGTATCCATAAGAATACTTGGGTGTCTTACCAGAAACTTGATAAAATTCTAATGCAACGACCACACTCTAATAAAGAAAGTGCTATATGAAAACATATTAATAATGTATGAGAAAATATAATAATGAAAGCATGAGATTTAATATAAATTTAAATAGAGAAAATTAATGTAGAATATGTATAACGAAAATCTTATATTTTAATAACAATAACGGAAATTTTCGGTCATTCTTTCGGTCATTATCAGTCAAAAACAAATATAATGAAGTTATGAATACATGTATACTGATGATAGAAAAAATACAAGTACAATGGTGTTTCAACTACAATTATACATAAACATTAACAACAGCATGAACAATTCACACTGATAATTCTTTGTCACCAATAATAAATTAATAATTTAATCATTTTATTCCATATACGTATATACTTACTACTAACTCATGTACGAATATCCACTGTTTAATAATAATAATAATGTATGATAAAATATAATGATGAAAACATAAGATTTAGTTCAAATTAAAATAGAAGAAATAAATGTAGTTGTAACTTCCTTATATTTGTATTTTTGATTGATAATGATCGGAAGAATGATCAAAAATTCCCGTTACTGTTATTAAAATATAAAATTTTCATTACATATTCTACATTATTTTCTCTATTTAAATGAAGACATGTTGAAACAACATCAGCCTTCTAAAATTTTCATCAGTCATATTTGGTTAGTAACCATGATATATCAGCTTCATGATTTACTTATCTGTATTTGTCGACGACACGTAGGCAAATAATATCAATCAATATTAAAAATTCTATGAATAAATGTCATTTTTTATATAATGAAGAACTGAGAAAAAATCTATTCCACGTTGTATACAAAATAAAATTAGATGCTTGTATTCATTAATCGAGAAGTAGCCGTTCCAGTTACTGAAATTACTCGTATTATTGTAAAATAAAATAACGAGACGATTTAGTCACGTTGCCAATAGAGTGTGGGTGTGAGTGCGGATCAAAAATAAAGATAATTACACCCACACCCTCAAAATATATTATTTCTTCTCAGTTTTTATGCGCTTTCTAATGGTGTCTATTTCATTCAAACTCAGCTTGACAAATGAAAAGAACAAATATTGTCCGAGAACTTTTTGCTAAAGGATGATTTTTGTTGTTTTTATTTTTTATATTAAAATCAAAATGTTGTGTCAATATGGTATCATATGAAAGCTTACTCAGTAACTATACTCATCATATATATAAAGTTTAATTCAGTTGAAATATAAAATTTTGGAAGATTATTTCTGTTTGTCTTGCAATTTTTTGCAAGGACCGTATTACTGATATCGTTAAGTGTTTGTGGAGTGAATATTGTGAAGAGAAGGATGATAAGAGCTAGTAAATGAATAATGAGAAAATTTGTTTTTTTCCTTTATAAAATGGTTAAAAAGGATCTCAGGTCGAAAAATCCGACCCGGAACTGATCGGTTCCCACATCTTCCAACAACTTCCTGACGCAATATTCCAGACTGGAATTCAGCGAAAAATTTCCCTTGGTTTCCTGTAATATCCAACACCCGGAACCCCAAAGAAAAACCATAGGTTCTCAAACATTTTTCAACTATGCAGTTTCGACAATTTCCGGGTTTATTCCGATATTCATTACCTCTACAAAAAAAACCGAATCCTCGTCCCTATGCCTAAATACTTCAGTTGTACACATATAATTTCAACAGAAACAGTTATACCTAGGCAGCCTAAGTATTGATGAGAATTGAAACCCCAACTCTAATCCGATAAGTAATCCTCCAGTCATCCCCCGCAACAGAACACTCTAAATAAAAAAGGATTTCTACGAAACTAAAAAAGGTTTTTT